CAATCATGCGTCCACGAACGGGGGAGCACGGTTGATATGGATTCTGCATGTACTCTTTGGGATCCCAGAATTATGTAACGACACGACGTGCAGCATCACAGATCTCACCACCATGTTTACTGTGCAGGCCAGCCGATGGCCCCAAAAGGACCATACAATCGGGGATCTTCTGACCCGGGTCAATCCAGACCCGGGTCAGCAGGAAACCAAAAACTGCAATGCAAGAAAAAAAAGCTGCAACGCAGATCTTCGAAAATCCGGGTCAGCCAATATGCGCGGCCGCCTCGCTGCCACGAGCAGCTCGCTAACCCGGGTCAGCCAGAGGGGGTCTTCGCAGGATCCTGCAAGATCTGGCGCTCTGGCTGACCACCGTTTGCATTGACCCCCGTCTCAAGGCTCCCGATACAGGCAGCGAAAATGGTAGCCGGGAGCTTGAAGGGGCGTGCAGCCGTTACACCGCACGTGCTGCTCGCCGGTGCTGCAGACCCCCCCTCTCGGCGTCGGCACTGGGGCGGGCAAGGGTCAGCAGAAGGCGGAAGTAACTGTGGGCAGCGCGTCGTCAAACCACCTCGTCGAAGTCATGATGTGCGCTACTGAAGGGACCCTGGGACACACAGATAGATAAACACAAATAAACAGATTCCCCATATTTTGCCATATTTTCTTTGTTTCTGTCTTCCCCCCCCCCACTTCCCATATGTTCCTACATTTTCTGGGGAATCGACGATCAATTGTGTCCCACAACCCACCATCACCACAACTACCATCACCACCACCACCAGAAACCACCGCACAACCACTACCGCCATCACCACCACCAACACAACCTGCCACCACCGCCACCACCACCAACCACCACACCACCACCACCACCACCGCCACCACAACCACCGCCACAACCACCACCACCACCACCACCACCACCACCACCACCACCACAGCCCACCACCACCACCACCTCAGAGATGCCCCAAGAGACGCCCAAGAGGCGCCCAGGAGGCTTCACAAATGCCCTTCAGAGGCCCCCGAGAGCTCTCCGATTAGACCCCAAGATGCATCCATTAGGACTCTGACCCAAAACCAAGGCACTGTGGCGGAGCGTCGTCGTCGTCGTCGTCATCGTCGTCGTCGCCGTCGTCCTCGATGACGCTCCCCGCCGCCGCCGCCCGCCGCCGCAGGCGCCGGCGCCGGCCCAGAAAAGGAAGTCGTCGCCTCCGCCGCCGCCGCCGCCAGCCGACAGGGGGGGTTGAACCCCCCCCCCCCCCCCCCTCCCGTCACGGAAGGGGGGGGGTTCGAGCCCCCCCCCCCTCCATCCAGCGGATTGGGGGGGGGTCCAAACCCCCCCCTCCAAGCGACCACAGAACGCGCTCTATCTTACAATGGAAAAAACTGCATCTCCAGCGCAAGCGTTTTGAGAGGGAGGCGACGACCGCGCATCGCCATCATGTACGCGATTGTTGCCTCTGGTCAGTCCAAAACTTTCAGTGGAAAAAACAAATCAATGTGATGTAAATGGCAAACTTCTGGCACCAAGGCAAACTGCCCGGAAGCTGGACCACCCGTTCCCTGCCGACCGGTTTCGAGCTGCGGCAGGCTGCGGGGGCGAGTGGTCATCAATACAGTGAACCCGTAGAATATGGACGCAGGAAAAGGATGCAAGGGCCTTGGAAGGCCATGACGACACTTTGCGAGCGAGGCGCGGCCAGCGAAAACGGCAAAGGATGGGCCGCCGAAAATTGTTCATCCTTACTATGCGGGTTGACTGTACTCAGGCTGCCTAGGTTACGGTACTGAGCACAACCAGAGTCGATTAGGGAAGGGGCTTCAGGTGGCACTCTCTGAGCTACTCGGAGGCCTGGGACCTTCTGCGCACCATGGAATACCATCGTCCTGCAGTTCCTCACGAGCCAACAGACGTGGACCCTGCCCCAGGACCAGAACCTAATCATGAAGATGAACACCTCTATGAACCCTTGGACTATGTGGGCCCTGCTGCAGAAAGGGTTTTTACTGCACTTGTTCTGATGAGCTCGACGCGAGAATGATGTGCAATATGCACTCGATCGAATGCTTGTGCCAGGGCCGTGGACCATCACATTGTGATTTCTTGCGACGTGGCCTGTGACCCTGTTCTGTGAGATCTCACTCGACCAGATACTGTTGATAATGGGATACAGTGGGGGTCCGACCACAAAAAACTTTCCACAAGAAACCCAACCCTGAGAACCCAGGACGTCCATTGATTTTTGGTGGGGGAACGTCGCGCTCTCCTCAGCAAAACCATCGAAACCCAAGAAATCAAGGGCACCCTGGAGGCAAGCAGGGTGTTTCTTGGCATGGGTCTCCACTGTATACTCCTGGAGCCTCAGCGTGCTATCGGCCGCATTTAAGGCCTTCTGTGCGAACCCTGGTCTGCAGCTAGACGGCAGCAGCTTCGTACCGTGACCGCCATCCTGCCCCCTCTCAGGAACCTCAAACATGGATCTACGTCGGGTATGCCCTCCTACACGCGGATTTTGCAGGACA